ACAAGTACAGCAAACAAAACATCAGCAAAAAAGCCTCTGAATTAAATGACACTGTAATCTAAATGGACTTAATAGACATCTACAGTGTATTTCACCCAACAACTACACAATTAACATTTTTCTCAGCTGCCCATAGAACCTTTTTCAAAACTGATCATATTCTAAGACACTCAACAAGCTAAGAAATACAAAAGTACTGAGATAACTAGAAATACAAAAGAACTGAGATAACTACTTGTATCCTATTTGATCACAATGGACTTAAGCTAGATCTCAACAATGAAAGATACTCCAGAAAACATTCAAACACACGGAGACTGAACAACATATTGTTGAATGACAGGTGGATCACTGCAGAAATAAAGGAGAAAATCAGAAAGTTCCAATAATACAATGAAAATGAAAACACATCATACCAGAACCTCTGGGATACTGAAAAAGGAAGGCTGAGAGGAAAGTTCAGAGCTTTAAGCATGCACATAAAGAAATCAGAAACAGCCTCATAAAACAAATAGCCTCCTGATACAATTAAAACTTCTAGAAAAATCAGAACAAACTAAAATCAAAAGTGCAATACAGAGAGATAATAAAGACTAGGGTAGAAATCAATGAACTAGAGACTAAAACAAACCAAACAACAAGAAGAAGAACAACAAAAACCCTATATATAAAGTCAAAGAAACAAGAAGCTGGTTCTATGGAAAAAATCAATATAACTGACAGTCCGCCAACCAGTTAACTTGATGAAAAATAAAGGAGAGAAGACACTCAAATCAATAAAATTAGAGATGTCAACAAACATCCAAGAAATTCAAAAGGTTATGAGAGACTACCTATACTCATAAGATGAAAAAAAATCTAGTAGAAATGGATAAATTTCTAGAGATATATACTGCCTACGATGAACCAAGTATATATAAACCACTTAAACAGACCATAACATGCAAGGAGATCAAGGAAGTTATCAGCAATCTTCCAACAAAGCCCAGGTCTCGAAGGATTCACAGCTGAATTCTGTAAAACTTTTAAAGTTGAATGAACACTGGTACTCCTTGAACTTTTTCATGAAAAAGAAACAGAAGGATCAATTCCAAACTCATTTTATGAAGCCAGTATCACACTCTTCCCCAAACCAGGTAGAATAAAAAAGAACTATAGACCAATCTCTCAGATGAACATAGATGCAAAGCTCTCAGTAAAATACTAGCCAAAAGAATTCAGCAACCAATAAAAAAATACATTGTGATAAAGTGGGTTTTAACCCAGAGATGTAACACTAGTTTAACATAAATAAATCAATAAACATAATATATCATATCAACAGAGCCAAGGACCAGAAATTCATGATCATCTCAATAGATGCAGAAAAAGCTTTCAACAAAATTCAACATTCATTCCTTTTAAAAGCTCTGGAGAAGCTAAGAAGAGAAGTAACATACCTCAAATTAATAAAGGCTATACATGACAGACCAACAGCCAACATCATACTAAACAATGAAAACCTAAAATCATTTCCCCCAAAATCAGGAAAAAGCAAGGACATATATGCTCTCCACTCCTTTTCAATATAACTCTGGAATTCCTAGCTGGAGCAATAAGGCAAGGAAAAGACATAAAAGAGATTCACATAGGGAAAGAAGAAGTCAAATGACATATACCTAAAGGACCTGAATGACTTTATCCCCAAACTTGTAGAGCAAAGTAGTAAGATACACAAGTAACCCACAAAAATCAGTAACCTTTCTGTATACCAACAATGTACAAGCAGAAAGGGGAATCAGGGAAACAACTCCATTTCAATAGCCTCCAAAAAGTGGGAATAAACCTAACAAAGGAAGCAAAAGACCTTTAGAGTGAGCACTAAAAATCCGGAGAAAGAAATCGAAGATGGCATCAGGAAATGGAAAGAACTCCTAGGTTCATGGATGGGTAGAATTAACAGTGAGGAAATAGCCATACTGACAAAAGTGACCTAACCCTTCATACAATCCCCATCAAAACAGATGGGTCCTTCTTAGTGGCCGGTGCTTCCTGTTCAGAGTCCCCGCTCCCACCATCCTCCCCACCCGTTCCCTCCTCCAGACTCACTTCACATTTCGCACGCATTGCCACTTCCTTCACATGTGCACACTGCATCTTGTGGCTGTATTTGCCTTGCTCTCGTTTTCATTCATCCAACTCTATCCTGCCACTGAGCTGCCCCCTTACACTCTTGTTTCAGATCCCCCTCACTCACTTTGTTAAAGTGCATGTTAACTGTTCTAAAGGTTTGCTCCATGGAGGTCCACTCCTGTGGATGCTGTCCTCTAGTCAGAGTGGTCATGTGTATAAGCACATGATCCTGTGCGTGCTTACATGGAAGCTTGCATTTTGTGTCTCCAGGACAAGGTAATTTAAAATTAGGATTTGATTGGGCTATTCTCCAATCTCGCTTGAAAACTTAAACTTCAAAATAATTATTATAGGGATTGGAAGCATGGCTCAGTTGGTAGCACGCTAGCCCGATGTACAAAGCGTCAGGTACTGAGTTCAAGTTCGTCTCACATCTAAAAAAAAAAAAGAAATAAAATCTACATTTATGCAATGTTTAAGTTAAAAAGTACAGATAGTATGAAAAATAGAATAATGGTATAAAAGTAAGCGGTGTAAAATATAACTTGTAGTCAGGCACTGGTGGCTCACACCTAAAATCCTAGCTGAGGCTGAGATTTGAGGATCATGGTTCGAAGCCAGCTTGGGCAGAAAAGTCCCCATGAGACTCTCATCTCCAATTAACCACTCAAAAATGAAAGTAACACTGTGGCTCAAGCGGTAGAGCACTAACTGTGAGCACAAAGGGGCTCAGGGATAGGCCCCAGGCCCTAAAGTTCAAGTCCCATAACTGAAAAAAAAAATACTGTTTGGCTCATGATATACCACATAGACTCTTCTGTGTCACATTGTATTCAGAATGAAGGACATGCCAGCAGCTGGGCACTAGTGGCTCATGCTTATAATCCTAGCTACTCAGGAAGCTGAGAGCTGAGGATCAACATTCAAAGCCAGCCCAAACAGGAAAGTTCTTGAGAGATTTATCTCCAGTTAACCACCAAAAAGCCAAACTGGAGGTGTGGCTCAAAAGGTGGGGCAGAAAAAGCAAAGCAAGACTTGAAGCTCCAGTACACACACATATACGCTGTCTCTCATACACACACACACATACACACACACACCACCACCACCACCACCACCACCACCACAGCCAAGCACTTCACACTTCATAGCTATGTGAAGAGTGGCATTAAACAGCTAAATGGCTGAGCTTGGCCACTCTGAATAGTCCCAAAACTATCTCTCCTTCATTTCTTATAAGAACAAGACTTTTTTTTTCCTCTCTTGAAATCAAAAAGAATGACAGAAATCAGCAGGATATGAGGTACACCATTTATAGGTATTTCCAAAGATGATAGGCAATTTGGAAGAACAGATTCATCATTGTTTTTCAAGGCTTTAAATAATGTACACAGGTCATTTCTTATCAGGCATTGTGAGGTCAAGATAAATGAAGCTCTAGTGGAGAATAATGGTGTGAAAGAATGGTGGGTAGATGGTCTTCCATGAAATCTTCGTGGCCCTTGTTACTATAGAAAGCCATTGTACCACTAACACATCTTGGCACATCCAGTGCTGTTCTACAGTTCCATGCCTTGCTTTGAGAAGACAGAACAGAGACTTGACCCAGAACCCAGCAGGAGGAATTCTTGTCTGATATTCTGAAAGCTTTTCGGTTCATTAGTGCTCTCCTTTATCTCGTTTTTCCTTCCATGAACTTGGACTGACATCTCCTATGTGCTGATGTCTGATCCAGGCTGATCATCAATGGAAAACAGTGCACGGTGAAGTCCCTGCCCTATGGGGCTTCTATTCTAGTAGGTGGAGATGGACAAACACACAATCCCATAATGCCTCAGGGCTCACAACGGTTTAAATCAGTTTCACTTGTGGGCAATGAGGAAGGGAAGACATGGGCTGCCACACATTTGCAGGTCCCAGCTACACTATGAAGACATGAGGGGCTTTGAGCCAGTCCTTCCCCTAGCCTGAACCCCACTTGCCTCTTCTGTACACGGAGTGGGACTGGTTTGAGTTGTGTCTAAAGGTCCTTTAAGGACCTTTTATTTTTCATGGTTTGGTAAGCACATCTTATATAAAACTAAAAGCCAGTATTTTTTAACTTCTAAGGTTTAATTTTGTTTAACTTCTAAGGTTTAATTTAGCTTGGTGGTACAGATTTTAAAAAAATTTGAACTCAAGGTCTTGTGACTGCTTGGTTTGCTTCAAGGCTGGCACTCTACCACTGGAGATTTGTCTCCAGTCCTGCTTTTTGCTGATTATTTTGCAGATGGAATTTTGAGCACTTGGCTGCGTGGACTGATTCTGAACTTTGGTCCTCTGGATCTCAGCCTCTTGAGTAGCTAGGATTATATGCATGAGAGTCATATTGGCTGAAAATATTTGGAAACAAATTGTTTTAAAAATCCAGTTGGGCCTCGGTGACTCGTGACTGTAATCCTAGCTATTCAGGAGGCTGAGATCTGAGGATTGCAGTTTGAAGCCAGCTCAGGCAGAAAGAATCTGTGAGACTTTTCTCTCCCATTAACTGCAAAAAAGCTGGAAGTGGAGCCGTGGTTTAAGTGATGAGTGGTAGTCTTGGGCAAAAGAGCTCGGGAGTAGTCCAAGCCCTGAGGTCAAGCCCTAGTATAGACACAGGCAAGGGCAAGCATACACACACACAGAATTCCTTAAATATATATTTAGTACTTCATATGCAATCTCATCCTCTTTCAATGTAAAAATGTCTTATTTACAATAGCTATAGAAGTATGCTTCTCCTACCATTGGTCACAAAATCTCACCCTATTTATACCTGGTCCTCTGGTTGTAAAGCCCTTTCTTGGGGTCTGACACTGTCTCTTCTACTAACCGATGCCACTGGCATTGAAGTCTGGAACATCTTTTCAACTGGAATATCAGCTCATGAAAACAGGGACTGGGAGATTGCTCTGAAGAAGAGCCTAAGGGAGATCCTGTCCTGGCAATCTCTCTCTCTGCGCACCATCACCACAGCAGCACCATGTGTACCAGTCCCAAGCCTCTGGGGCACCCCCTGAGCTCTTCATGTGGTCAGAAGTCTGCTTAGTAAACTCAGACCTTTGGTCTATCAAAGGTACCTGAACATCTGGACAGAGGAAATGGCTTTCCAGAATGGTTCATAGACTAGGACAATGGGATGAACCATGTGCACAATTTCTTCAGCTTCCCTGGTGGAATGTTGGGGCCTATTTTACCATGCAAGCAAAGGAGTCCTAGGTTCTAATCAGTGACTTTGTTTGGTGAAACGTCATGAGAAGGCTGTCAAATGGACTCATGCTAAGTTGCTGGAAGTCATTAAGTATAGCTTTTCTTCAAAGACAAGTTGCATTCACTGCTTTGAGTCTGAAATGAAGAAATTCAAATTTCAATCAAGCCAGGAGCTAAGACTGCAAGGGAATCTGGGAGATGCTAAGGAGCTTTCTTATCTCGCCCAGACTCTCATGGACACCTAGGCAGTTTTGAAGGCTCCTGCTGAGATTTATCTGGTTACTACAATACACCCATATCCTACCCGAGGGTTTCCAATTTCATCAAGTGTGCTTAGTCATAAGCACCGATCTTGGCAGTGGCTTTGGCAACAGGGTGAAATCTGGCTGTACGGGAGGTATGCTCCTTCCTGTCATTCTGTGGTATCCGGATGGCTATCCACATTATCCCCAGCCTGGCCTCCTGTGTAGTCTGCCCTGTCCCTGTACTATGTGAAAAGGAACACTGACCAAGTCATTGGTTGGGTGTGGACACTCCTGCGTAAGAACCAGCTGGACAAGGCCGCTCCATTATAACCTTAAGGAATCTTGAAAAAACCTTACAGCTTGTTTCACACAATGACAGCCCAAGCACTGTGAGTGTGGACCAGGAGATGAGTCGGATCCAGTAGAGGGTGGCTGTACACACGAGGGATAGCGAAGAATGAGATGCAGGGAACCTGGACCCCAGTAACTGCTAGATCCTGGCTAGCAAAGGAGAAGGATTTTGGTATATATCATGGAATTTGCTCCTGTGGTTTAAATCATTGATTCTATACTACTAATAAGAATAAAGTCCTTTTCATTGGGACAGGAATTGGAGTGGAAAACTCTATACTAATGAATTCTGGCCTTGCATGTGTATGACTGAGTGTTCCTCGGCCATTCCTAAGGATCCAGGAGTGCAACAGGTCTGGCTCTGGCTGTGTGGTCCCATGAAGCCTCTGTGTGTACTGTGTGTAATGCAGTCTTCAGAGCAGAAGTCTATGAGCAGCAAACATGCTTATGTCTTAGGTCCACACCTCCATGGGCACTATGGCCTCCTTAGTTCCAACAGGAGGCAGGAGGTTTTCTTCAGACAAGAAATAAAGGGGGAATTGGACCAAGAATCCGCGGATCTTCTTCAGTTCTTCCTCAGCTCGAAGGGGATCTTCCCTGGCTAGGATAGGCTTGCTTATGAAGTCCCGAAGCTGCATTAGATTGTGTACTTCATCATTAGGAAGGCACCGGAACACCTGGTCGGAACACAAACTGGAAAGTGAGGGATGGGTCTGAAAGCAAAAGCTTCATGCTGGTAAACCAAAGCTGGGCCTTATGAACCACACTGAGATCATGAGGAAGGTCAGCCTTTAGCCTTACCATTCTTATCTACCCACAAAGCAACAGCTAGGTTTTTTTTTTCCCCCATTCCCCAAACCTGTGGATTCTTCTATCTAATCTACCACATAATAAAATCAAGCTACTGGTCAGGGATTTCACTGTTGTTACTCCATGCTGAGGTGAATCTGGGGAATATCAATTATCCCAAGATCTCATTGGATGTACATCCCAGATAATGTCAACAATTATCAACATGTAACACAATGCTGACTGAAAACAAATCTCAGACATCAGAACAATTCACTGCTGTATATTCAACATGGATGTTTTAAAAATAAGGACATGTATGTTTATGATACTATCTTCAGACCTAAGAAAATTAATTCCACAATGTCACTTAAGTTATATCTTAGGTTCAGAATTATTCTTTAGTCCCAAATGTCTTTTACATAATAGTTCCCCTCAAATATAGCTCAAAGAAGACTAACACACGGCATTTGTAAAATATTTTAAAAGATTCTATGTACACAATCTAGTTGATCATAGCCTGAGTCCTTAATATGAAATAAAGCAATGGAGAGAGTTGTCATGTGTGATTAAGAAAGATGAAATCTTGCTCTGGAATTCAAATCAGAGGGAAGAACAGAGTCTACCCAACTTGTTGTAAATAGTCAACAAATTGAGGGGAGAAAAAGAGCCTGGCAGGGCAATCAGGGCAAAGGCCCTCTCCCCTAGAGGGTCAGTATGCCTCACCATGGCCTTGAGCGGTCCTGTGTGCAGACCATTAGACATCACATTATCATGGCCTTCTACTGTCGTGTACGGGGGCCTTGGGCATTATGTCATGGCCCATTGCATCTGGAAGACTTGCACATGAACAAAGGGCACACAGAAATGTGCTCCAGAACAGGCAACCAATCAGAGGGGCTCATGGAGAGCTCAGGCACGCTGGGTGGAGCCTCTGATTGGGTCTGGGGACTGCTATGGCCTAGTGGTTTTCCAATGCCTTGATAGTCACATAGCTCTCACCCTGAGACACTTATGAACCCCTTCAGAACACACCCCAGGTAACATCTTTCCGTGAGGGAGCACCCTTCCTGTCCAGTGGGAGCTCTGCTTGTATTTTTCGTCATTAAGTCTGTGACATTTTACTTCTTCAGTGCTAGTAGCCTCATTCTTGGAGAACATTGAGGCAGCCGACCGAATCTAGGTGTTGCCGTTGTTCAGTAGCAGAATCTCAGCTTGATGATTTTCTGTCTTGGGATACTGGCTACTTCATTAGGTGATAAGTTCCCGTCAGACACTGCTTATCTCCTGTACATTCCATATCGTAACCAATGGCTACAACTTACCAGGCGATGTATCTGCTATGAATTAAATGAAGCTGGGCTTAAACAACTTTTCTAAAATTAGGGATGTCCAACCGAGGACATTTAAAAACTTCACCAAAAAAAAGGATATTATTTAGAATGTGTTTATGTGCCAAGTACATTTATTAGCTTATTGTTTTTTAATCATCACTACTCTGATGAATATCCCCCAATCTGCAGAGAGAAAAGAAAGGCTTGACACTATGTAGAGTTGTATAACCAGCCAGTGGGTGACAAAATTCAAACTCAGTTCTGACATATTTGGATCCCAATAGCTCTCTTCTCTTCATTGTTAAACATGATGATCTTGATGAGATTCCTGACTCAGATGAGGGGACAAGGTGCCACTAAAGTCTCTTCTACTTTATAACCCATGATTCTCTTTGATCTTTGCTTTTTAAATAATTTTTATTTTTTATTGTGATTATAAAGGTGATGTATGGTAGGGTTACAGTTGCATAAAGTCAGGTAATGAGTCCATTTCTTTTTGGGACAATGTCAGCAGCTCCTTCGCTCTGTTCCCCCCACCCCTCCCATCCCCGGTCCCTACCCACATGTGTATGGTTCATTTTCCCTATAAGGTCAATCAAGTGAGGACCACTGGATCTTTGCTTTTTGATGTCTGGAAATACATATCTTTACAACCTGGATATATGCTAGTACTTTTGTTGTTTTGTGTTGGTCCTAGGGCTTGAACTCAGGGCCTGGGTGCTGTCCCTGAACATTTTTGCTCAAGGCTAATACTCTACCACTTGAACCATACCTCAACTTCCAGATTTTTTGTGCTTAATTGGAGATAAGAGTTTTATGGGGACTTTCTTGTCTGGGCTGGCATTAAACCACAATCCTCAGATCTCGGCCTCCTGAGCTAGGATTGCAGATCTGAGCCACGAGTGCCTGGCTTACCTTTTATACTCATTAAGAATATTCAAGGCAGGCATTGAAAGTCCATGTCTATAATCCTAACTACTCACAAGGTTGAGATCTGAAGATCATAGTTCACAGCCAGCCCAGGAAGAAAAGTCTGTGAGACTCTTGCATCTAAATTAACAACAAAAAGCTGTAAGAAGAGATGTGACTCAAGTGGTAAGGCACCAGCTTTGAATGAAAAAGCTTAAGCCTGAGTTCAAGCTCCAGTAGTGGCAAAACAAAACAAAAACATTCTGCAGAAATGAAATGCAGAAATAACAATATGATTTTCTCTTGCACATGGGGAGATTTAATTTTTAAAAAGGAGAAAGGAGAAATAGGCAAAGCTCACCTTATCATACACTGTAGCATTTCGAGCTGCTGTTGAGACCCACACATCCTTGAAGAATTTGTCACTCACTGGGTCCTGGATGTCCTCACTTGGGTCAGAAAGATAGCCCAGGACAACCCTGAAATAGAAGGAACCTCCAGACTGAGTGTCAAAGAAGTTGCTGCCTGTATTGTTTCTAGTGCTGACAGCAAGCCAGGCACTCAGTCACAGGAGTCCTGGAGGGAACAGAATCAAAAGAAGCTATAAACTCACATGTGCAAATATGGCTGCTAGATGGCGCACAGACTGGGGGAGGGGGGTGAAGGAGGGCCGACACAGGAGACACAGCAGTCACTGTGGTGAGGCCGAGGGTGGCTGTGGCCTGGTGGTGGGAGGAACAAAGACAGAGCCAGCTTTTACATCTGGAGAGGGCTCAGGAGAGGAGAAGAAGTGGCAGCCCAGGTGACTGACAGAGCTAGGTCCTGAGCAGCTGGAGGGATGATGCTGCTGTTAGCTAGGAGTGGGGAGAAGAGCCAGAGTCAGTTCTCAGCCTGTTGAGACCTCCATGATGCATCCAACACATCAAGCTCGCTCGGGTGGGGACATGGATTGGGAGCGGAGGGGAGAAGGAGAGGCTGGAGAGAGAAATCTGCAGAAACCACAGGCTTTACTGAGGAACTACTATGAGCAGGAGAGGCCTGCTTCAGGTAAGGGCACCCAGCAAGGCCAGAGGTGGCCAGAGGATAGACTATTTTATTTCCACTTAGGTAAGCATGCCAAGCAAACTGTCAAATTCAGATCATGGTTCAAAGCCAGCCTGGCCTGGGTGGAAGAATCTGTAAGACTCCGTCTCCAATTAACCGGCAAAAGGCCAAACTGGAGGCATTTCATAGCTCAAGTGGTAGAATGCCAGGCATGAGCAAAGGAAGTTGAGCAGGTGTGAGGCTCTGAGTTCCAGATCTGGTACTTATACCAATAATAATGATCATTATCATAATAACTCAAACAAAACCTGCAAACGTACAGGTTTCCACATTTATATCTGTCACCAGTAGACACTGATGAACTTTTAGTAATTCTGGTTGCATCCTGTGCCACTGAATCCGTTCAACTTTTAAAAATAAGCTGACTTTTAAACGCTTAAATGTGTTCATATGCTTTGGCCTGGTCTTAAATCAATTAATATATTTTAAATGCTGGTTTGTCTGATTGTACATAAAACTAAAGGGCTATGAAAATAAAACGGCGATGTGCACATGTGTGGAGTGATTTTGCACTGGGCATACGGCCTGCACTAGGGAACACTGCTATCCCAGCGTCCAATCTGGCTGTCAGGGCAGGAGGCGGCCCTGGGAGAGACTCAGCACTGGAGAGCTGACCTGAAGCATTGCAGGCGAAGCGCATGGGCGAAGCAGCCAGCCTGGTACTCTTTCCCATCCATCACAGCAGGGATTGTCTCTGTGTCCTGCACCATGATCGCCATCTCACTGTCCCGCTTCCCCAGCATGCTGCGGTCGTTGATGTTAGCGGAGCCTGAGGAGACAGCGACACTGAACACGCTCTGTGACAGAGGCAGACGCCTGCCATGCTCACCCAGTTCTTCACCAAGAAAACCCTTCCCGTAGCTGGCCCTGGTGGCTCATGCCTGTAGTACTAACTACCTCAGGAGGCTGAAATCTGAGGATGGCGATTCAAAAATCAGTCCAGGCAAAAATGTCTGTGAGACTCTTATCTCCAGTTAACTGCCAAAGAGCCAGGAGTGGGGCTGTGGCTCAAGTAGTAGAATACCAGCTTTAACTGGAAAAGCATGTGAGAGTATGAGGCCATGAATTCAAGCCTCCGACAGGCACAACAATTTATGACAAAAAAAAAAAAATCAAACTTAGTTCAGGTTCTCTAGGGAAGATCATCTTAGGCATGAGACCAATCTTGATCAATCGAAACCAGACAAGATAATTGCATTATTTAGGTCAGTGACTAGCTTAGGATTGGAACTTGAAGGATTCTAGCATCCTGAAAGTCTCCCAGGGGCTGCTGAGAAAGTTTATTTTTATAAAGTTTGTAGAGGATTAGAATAAATGGATGTATCTGAACTTTGGGTAACTGACTTGAAAGGTTGTGTGAGGACACGATTCTTGGAGCTTCTGCAGTCATTTTGCAACCCTGAGGGAACAAATAGACAAGCTAAGCCCATCTCTACCTTTTTGTTGATTAATTTAAGAGTCCCTTGGATTTGTCAGCTTAGGCTGGCTTTGAACCATGATCCTCAGATCTCAGCCTCCTGCGGAGCTATGATTACAGGCATGAGCCACCAGTGCCTGGCTCCATTTCACATACTTCTATTTAAGTTTTCTACTTGTGTCATAAAGGAATGTGTTACAACCAATAAAGCACTTCAAGACAACTTTAGACCTAAGATTCAGGCTGCATAGACTTTAGCTGTCATATTATGAATGTCAAAATGAGAGAGCCTTGCATTAGTTCAGTCTGAGTGCACTGCCCACTTTGGCTGGGTATTCAGAACCCAGGCCTCAGCTCTGTGGATCTCATGTTTTATTCATGGCCGAATCTCCCTAGGGGGTTTTGCAATGGATTAAGGATTGTTAGAAATAATCCTTTCACTTAGTCAACAGGATACACTTCATTTCTACTAGAACATAGTCTTGTTCGATTTAGAAGACATATAAAAACTGGCCTTGGTGTGTGCTAAGATTCCAGGAGGAGAAAGCTAAATTGATCACAGACTTCATGAGCAACAGGGCTATTCAGAATCACAGGTAATCAGAGCTACATGTAAAAGAGATTTGGGTTGTTAGACAATAAATGTTTCCTTATGAGGAAAAAATGAGGACATACTAGCATAATTTTTCTAGTTAGAAAAATTAATCCCAAATTAATTTAATCTCCTAGTTTGTGTCAATACTGGGTCTTGAACTTGGCCTGAATGCTGTGCCCTAGCTGTTTTGCTTAAAGCTGGTGTTCTACCACTTGAGCCACAGCTCCACTTCTGGCTTTTTGCTAATTAACTAGAGATAAGAATCTCTCAGATTTGTCTCTCCAGGCTGGCTTTGAAGTATGATCCTCAGATCTCAGCCTCTTGATTAGCTAGGATTACTGGAGAGAATCATCAACACCTGGCTAACCTTTTTTAAAGCCTTTGAATAGTTAACTATAAACAGAGTTTGGTTTTGTTGTTATTTAGAGGTACTAGGGTTTGAATTTAGGGCTTTTCACTCATTGGACAGGCGCTCTGCAACTTGAGCCATGAGCCTATTCTTTGGTAGGGTTATTTTTCAGGCAGGGTCTTACAGTTCTACATGGGTCAGCCTTGGAGCCTGGTTCTTCTACCTTGGGAAAACCTTACCATCTCTACCAATGCAGTTGATGGTACCATGCCCACAGTGCCACAGACCCATGCCACCACACCTGGCTTGTTTATTGAGATGGGGGGTGGGGGGATCTCAACTTTTGCCCAGGCTGGTCTCAAAGCATGGTTTTCCATTCTCCACATCCTAAGCATCTGGAATTACAGATGTGTGACACCAGGTCTGAGGAACCCTGATGAAAGTTTTTTCAATCAGGATTGTTTATAGACAAATTAAAAAAAAGAATTGCTAGCTTTACAGTGTACCAAAGAACAATTGATCCAATTCTTTTTGTTTGTTCTTCAGAAAAACTTTAGTATGATCATGATGGCAGGGGTTCTTCAACAAATCAAGTTTTTTTCTTTTATGCTGTGGATTCTTTACATTTTATGACAAATGGATTTTTTAGGAACTTTATATTTTTTCACACTGTCTTAAAAAGGCAAATGTTCTTGAGCAACTATTTTCTCTTTGCCCCAATGGACCTGGGGTCCACCAGCTCTTTGCTTCCCACTGTAGCTGGGATTACAGGTGTGAGCTACTAGGCCTGGCTTCCGTAAAATATTTTTGAGACTAAGCCACTGGCGTAAGATGAAAGGAACATAAAAAGACAAAAAGTAACCATAAGCAGAAGGAAAAAGTAAGAAGGAGGAAGAGAGTGAATGAGGATTGCCAGAGTACCTTACATATGTATATGAAAACAGAGCAATAAAACCTGTTGAAACTGTTTTAAAAGTGGGTTTGGGAGATGGCGTTGACTGACTGGAGGAATGGGTTGAAGGGGTATATACGTTGCATGCATGTGTGGAAAAGCCATAATTAAACCACTGCCCCCCTTCTTCAACTAATGGATGATAATAAAAACTTCAGAAGGACAAGAAGGGAGGCAGGAGGAGGGAAGGGAGGAAGGAGGAGGAGCTGAGACTGAACAGGGACTAGGAGGGAAAAATCACTGGAACACTAGCAACTGAATCAGCTGTTGGAGAATGTTCAGGCTTGCCATCTTTCTCAGATGTGAAATGAGATATACTGCCACTATGAGCACAGGCGTGTGAGTCTAGAAGGTGTCTGGCTTTTGTAAAGCCGTGGCCGGGGAGGACGCCTCATGTGAGCCCGCAGAGAACCGACCCCTTGGATTGAAGGCTGACTCATTGCAGCCCCCTTGCTCGGGCCACAGAATGCCGGCAGCACGGCAAAGTCCCCCAGCGACCATGCATCTGACTGATTTGGAAGTCACGGCCCAGTTAAGAGACATAAATACCCCTGGAGGAAGACCTCTCCATGAGCTCCCATCTTCTGACTGCTTTCTAGAAGCTTCTAGCTCATCTCCTCCATGTTCAGTCTTCCCGCTCAAAATCGGTCTCCCCTGGCCTGCCTCACGTGCCTCCTCTGCACGGTTTCAGAATTCATCTAGTCTTTAGACGAAGTTTCTGGGCTTTCAGGTGGATGACTGGGAATTTGAGGAGAGAGTTCCTTTCCATCATGGGGCAACATCCTCCCATCCACATCTGGCCCTGGTGACCTTCCCAGCCTCAATTGTTCTCTGAGAACTTTACCCATGGATCTCAGTGCTGGGACCGGAAACAGAGCTCCTATATCAGAGCATCCTCAAAAACTGTTTGCTCTTCTGAGTTGCCATGGAGATTTAAAGAAAAAAAAACTTGGATTTTCCTGGGGGAAAATCTATTCTTTCGGGCACCATGTTCTCACAAAAGAATAAAAGAGAGCCTGGCACTGGTGGCTCATGCCTGTGATCCTAACTACTCAGGAGGCTGAGATCTGAGGATCGTGGTTCAAAGCCAGCCTGGGCAGGAAAGTCCCTGAGACTTGTATCTCCAATTAACCACCAGAAAAGCAGGAGTAGAGCTGTGGCTCAGAGCACTAGCCTTGAGCAAAAAGTGCTCAGGGACAGTGCCCAGGCCCTGAGTTCAAGCTTCATGACAGATTAAAAAAAAAAAAAGAATAAAAAAGAAAGTAAAAAATCAAAGCCCAACAAAATCAACACTAGGAAAAGTGTACAACTAAGGGGCAGGGTGTGGGGGAGATCAAGGGAGAGGAGACAATGAAGGGAGAGAAAGCAGTCAAGAATTTGTTGTATACCACAAGATTAGGAAAAAACAAGTGGAGGGTGGGTTGAAGGAGGCTGAGAATATTGAAGGGAGCTCCTTTGTCCAATTAGGTAAAGATAATTAAAAAACAATTTTAAAGAAAGAAAGTCAGCCCTGAGGACCAGCAAGCAGGACCTCTCCCTTCACAGCTCCACTATTCTTTTCTTTAGTTTCAACAGACATGATAAAGAATCTGTGCAAAACCAATCAATTATTTCCAGCCTAAATAAACTTCAGCCTTCAAGGGCTTGGAGACCTTTCTAGAAAAGGAAATAATTAGAAAATTCAACAGACCTGTTCAGAAGCAGAGCTTCACATTTACATTTTATGTGAAGGAAGACTGGCTCAAGGTGAAAATGACCTTTCAAGGGCAAATATTTTTACATCTGTCCTTTTAATTCAAGAGGGACTGACTGAATTTTACTTGGCTCTGTTTATGTTTATCAATTCAACAAACATCAATCATTTTCTCTTCGGCCTGCAACTGCCAAATTTTAATATGAAAATATTCTGAGGATGGCTTTTGAAGAAAAACAAAGCCAGAATACCTTAGGGGAAATGAAAGAAGCCTAGTGTATTGAGAAGAGAAGGAGAAATAAAGCTCTAAAGAGCAATAGATCAATGCCAATAGATCAATGCCGGGCACCAGCGTTCACACTATCATTCTAGCTACTTAGGAGGCTGAGATATGGAGGATCAGGTTCAAAGCCAGCCAGGGAAAAAAAGGCTCAGTGACTCCATCTCTAATTAATTGGCCAGAAGCTGAGCTGGAGGCATACTCAAGTGGTAGAGCATCAGCTCTGAGCAAGAAAGACAAGTGACAGCAAGCCATCTTGAGTTCCAAACTGGGGTGTGTATATGTATGTATGTATATATATGCATGTATGTTTGTATGTATGCCCACATGCACATATACCATGATTTCTATATTTTCTGCTTTAGAACTATGCTTGTAATTATCTTCTGCTAAGACAGCATCATTACTATTATTACAGACGAGACTTTTCTTTTCTCAGAGGAAATGGAAAAGGCGTAGTCACTGCCAGAAAATTTCCAAACACTTCATGACATTAAAGAAGGGGGGATTATCTGACAGTAGCTGAGAAACTATACATTACTTAAAGCAGACGAGCAGAATTCCTGCTGGTGGACAACACGCATCCAGTGACCTGCCCTTACCCTGGCCTCAAGTCAGTAATGGGGCTACTTACTCATACTGTTACATTCTGGCCTTCCTGTGCTCATGAATGTAACATTAAAAGGCAGAAACAATTCCTGGCTTGTGCAATGAAGCCTTTAGTGTATATAAAATGGGAGTGAGGCTGCACTGCCACCTCGCTGACCAAGTGGCTGCAGTCTGGCTAGAACTTATGAGCAGTACCTGACTCAGCCAGTGGCCAGAGGCCTAGGCATGTCCTTGACCACAAAGACTGCTGACCTTACTGCAGGGGACAGTACTTCATTCAGCGTGCACCCCTCCTTCTCCCTTCCTCCTCATCTCTCCCCCACACCAACTCAGCTGGCTGGTGCCTCCTGCTTACTGACTCCCCAAACACAGACATTAGGGAAATGTATGCAGTAGCTACAGGTAGCAATATCTTAATATCCTTCTGACTTTGGTTTATATAACTTCAGATCTATGGGAATGGCTGGGTGGATACCAACACCTGAAAATTCCTACAAGTTATTCATTAGAATATTTTTTCTTACTGAGGCTGATATGACACTGTTGAACCATGCCTCCAGTCCTGGTTTTTTTTACAGGTTATTTCCTGTCCAGGTATGTCCTGAACTTCAACCCACCTATTCTCAGCTTCCTATTGTCTATTACTATTACTGGAGTCACAGGTGGGTACCACCCCATCCAACCTAATCTCTCCATGAAGACAAAGTCTCACTGACATTTCTGCCCAGGCTGGTCTGGGACTGTGATCCTCCCAATCTCAGTCTCCCAAGTAGCTGAAAAGGACTGCACATACCACTGTGCCTAGCAGTAAGTTAAGACCTTTTCTGCCCAAGTTAGCTGTGATCCTTCAATACTCAGCCTCTCAAGTAGTTAGGATGACAGGCGTAGCCACCAGTACCTGGCCACTCTTTCATGACACATTTTCTTGTCCACTTTCACACCCTCCAAACTAGAAACCTAGCCACTTACATTAAAAATAAAAATAAAGGAGTAAGGGGCTGGGAAGGTGGCTCAGTGGTAGAACACTTGCCTTGCATGCATGAGGACCTGGGTTCGATTCCTCAGCACCACATAAGCAAAAAGAAAAAAGCTGGAAGTGGTGCTATGGCTCAAGTGGTAGAGTGCTAGCCTTGAGCTGAAGAGCTGAGGGTCAGCGCCCAGGCCCAGAGTTCAGGCCCCACAACCAGACCCCAAAAAAAAAAAAATAAAGGAGTAATAAAGAATTAGTGAATCAAGCAGATTGTTAAGACTGTCATCCTAAGCCACTGCGTGTGAACAGCTTAATGTGCACAGAGTTCACCTCACTGCTCTGCATCACCGATGCCTTCTGCCTAAAATTAGAATCAAAAGGATGTTCAACAAAACGACTGCTTCAGGAACACTTCAGGGATAATGCCCCTGTAGTTCTCTCAACTGCAAAGAAGCATGGAAGAATAAGGAGGAGGAGGCATGGCTTGGGTTATGACTGCTGCCAAGGACCACACCCATAGACTGACTTACCAATAATGACCGTGTTATCATCAGCGATAAGAAGCTTGCTGTGGACGTAGATAAGCTCGGTGACTAGATTTCCCTCAAGCTGGGCATGTGTTCTAAGACCACAGAATGAAATGTAATTTATCCACTGATTACCAACTGCAAAATTAAAAAAGAAACCATTAACATCAATATGACCACGCTCACACTCAGCAGAGACACGTTCAATAAAGTTTTCTGAAACAAACCAGTTACACAGGCTGCTGAGAATGCATCATATATATATATATATATATATATATATATATATATATATATACACGTATATACACACTAACACACACATATATATGATGTAGGTATGTATACACACATATACACATATAGAAAGAGAGGGGAACACACACACACACGCACACACACACAGTGGAAGTAGCAGTTAAATTTTACTGCTGTTGGGCAAATAAAAATGTTGCCAGGGTTAAATGCCTTCCCCATCTAGATGATTAAAATGAAGAAATGAAAGACTCCTCACTACATTGAGTCTAGAAATTTCCTGTAGATCAAAGTCCTGTTCTGTTATCCATTAGGTAGAGGCCATTCGTGTGGCAATAAATAGGTCCATTCTATAGCATGCCATCTCCCTGGCCTGAGTGTTATGAGATTTTATAACCTTCTCCCACAGAGCAGTTATCCTAGATAAGCCAAGTCTGATACTAAGGACAAATGGAGTGGAACCAAACTGCCACAGCATAGTAATAACAGAGTATAAGTCTTTAATTTCTCCGAAGCATACTAATACAACCAGTGGAAATTCACCATCCAGTCACTGAACTTCCTGTTTATTACAGATGTTTTCTATCATGGTGTTGATGTTAATCAGTATTTCTATGGAGCTTGGATATTTTGGAAAGAAATTTATTCATAGGTTGCACACAGATTCTTCCACTGACAGATAACTTCCATTATGTAGATGAGCAATCTTATATAGCTATTTATGATCCAAGTGGATGGGTATGTGTACACAAACACACACACACAGGCACACAAACACAGAGACAGACAGACAGACAGACAGACACACGACACACACACACACACATCCACCCTCCAACAACCAGGAAGCAAGACTTCATATTATCACAACTCCTCCACACCAAGAAATGTACTAGTGCATGCTGTGTATAAGGCATTTCTGTTCTTAAAGTACTACTCTAGTCTTAAGTTTCATGTAAATGGCGTGGACATAGGCAAGACATCAATGTCACACTGGAATGTTTCTTTAAGTATCACCCCTTTTAAAACTAGCCTGTCAAATACAACATTGAGCCCATTACGAAAGAATCTACCGTGTACTTTGGGTGGAAAGAACAGAAAGAAAAATTGAGAATCAATTCTTTAGACTGTTGGGGGAAAAAAAGTTCTAGCCAGGCACTGGGGACTGATGCCTGTATCCTCGCTACTCAGGAGGCTTAAATCTGAGGACTGCAGTTCAAAGCCAGCGTGAGCAGGAAAGTCTATGAAACTCTTATATCCAATTAACCACTAAAAAGCCAGAAGTGGCACTGTGGCTCAACTGTTAGAGCATTAGCCTTGAGCAAAAGAAGCTCAGGGACAGTGCTTAGACCCTAAGTTCACGCTCGAGGACTGGTACCAAAAAAAAAAAAAATATAGAAACCCAGGCACATATAGCAACATCACCAAGAAGCAATAGTTGGGGGTAATATCTGAACTCCATCATGAGGATATGAGACTCTGGAGACTTCCATAGATCCCAGGACAAAGCTGAGATCAACAAGGGTGGATGTGCACCTCCAAAGAAGGCCAAGGGTGTGGCTCAAGTGGTTGAGTGCCTACCTATCAAGCACAAGGTGCTGAGTTCAAATTCTACTACCACCAAAAAATAAAAGAAGACAAGTTCAACATACCAAACTCTTGATTTTATAATGAAGTATTTGCAAAGGATACCAAATTTTATTACTTAAGAAATTACAGTACTTGATATGCATGCAGTTTTGAATCTTTTTTTTTTTTTTTTTGCCATTTGTGGGGCTTGAACTCTGGGCCTGGGCGCTGTCCCTCAGCTCTTCAGCTAAAGGCAGGCACTCTACCACTTGAGTCACAGCGCCACTTCTGGTTTTCTGGTAGTTTATTGGAGATAAGAGTCACGGAGTTTCCTGCTTGGGCTGGCTTTGTACTGCAATCCTCAGATCTCAGCTCCTGAGTAGCTAGGATTACAGGCGTGAGCCACCAGCGCCCGACCAGTTTTGAATCTTGACTGAATACCTCTCCATTTCATATTAAATTATACTGTTTTGACTCTAGTGCCATCATCTACAAGAATTACAAAAATGGTAAAGAAATGCTTTAAACTGAACATCAAACCTCAAATACCAGATAATGATATACCCATGGCTGCTAGATTTCTTTCCAGGAATTTTAATATATTCACAGCAGTAGTTTTGTTGTTCTAAATAATTGAAACAGTAGATCATTATATTTCTCTATCTAATTAGAGATTAGCGAGTTCATGGTTTCTAAAAGCCAGGACATATTAACAAAAACAAAAGTAGCAATCCAGTTTGCTTCCGAGAGGGAATATTGTAATTAATCTTTTCTCTGTATGTCTAGATTATGAACATTTTCCTACTGAGATTCCTTATTTTCGCTTATTCCCAAGGTACTTGGAAATCCTTGTCACAAATAGGTTTACCATCAAGATTCCCTCTTGTGTTAAAACTCCAGCTTATTTCCCCTGAATAACAGGCAGGACAAAGGTTCAGAGCCAATGCTTTATATGATGCCCAGGACATTTCTTTAATTGTTGAGAAATGAAACAATCAGCTTATTTTGATTTTTAAAATTCTCTTATAACTACGTTTTTGCATTTTTATGAGCCACTGCCAGTCAGCAATGGACAAGTTTCACAATTGTATGTTATCAATCTTTCTGTTCTAGAAAAGATAGAATTAGGAAATAAGAGATTGACATGGTAAATCTCTACCCACATACAGTCACATCCATCATGTAGAAAGTGTTTGCTATTACTGATCATATGTGCACAGGTCTGATGTCTAAAGTTTTTGTCTAAAATTGCATAGGTGGGACCAATCATGAAGGAGAACTCATGAGTATACAGCATCAATGGGTGTGTACATAATATATACATACAGTGAAAGCCCAAGTCATTATTTGTAAAGCTTACTCATCAGTTAAAGAAAATCACAAAACTTATACATTTAAGCCAAAATTTGTAGCATGAAACTCCCAGTTTTAGAATATACATGGCTGGAGTGCTTACATATATACATAGCTTAGTGCTTGCCTAGCAAGTACAAGGCCCTGGGTTATAATGCCAGTTCTGCGAAATAAAAAAAATGAACTCTACAGTTGAGTAGCTGATTGGTTTTTTGCATTCTCTCTCTCTCTCTCACTCTCTGTATGTGCACGCACGCACCTGCCTTCTTCAGGATATTCTAGTTACAAGATCACATCATCTGCAAAGAAATAAGGCCAGAGAAACTCCAGGCCAGTTATTTTGTATTAAATAAAAATAGTAATGAGGGAGGCTGGGAAGGTGGCTCAGTGATAGAGTGCTTGCCTTGCATGCCTGAGGTCCTGGGTTCGATTCCTCAGCCCCACATAAGCAAAAAGGAGAAAGCCAGAAGTGGCGCTGTGGCTCAAGTGGTAGAGCGCTAGCCTTGAGCTGAAGAGCTGAGGGACAGCGCCCAGGCCCAGAGTTCAGGCCCCACGACTGGACCCCCCCCAAAAAAAATAGTAATGAGGGCCAAGAGCCGGTGGCTCACACCTGTAATTCTAGCTATTCAGGAGGCTGAGATCTAAAGGTCACGGTTCAAAACCAACCTTGACAGTAAAATCCATGAGACTCTTATGTTCAGTTAACCATTCCAAAAAGCTAGAAGTAGAGCTGTCGCTCAAGTGGTAGGGTACTAGCTTTGAGTTGATAAGACTCAGAGACAGTATCCAGCCCTGAGTTCAAGCCTTGGGATGGGCATTAAAAAAAAAAAAAGCCACAAGGGATAAGGAAAGTAGTTACTTACGTTTTGGTTTTAACTGTCCAACAATAGAATTTTCTCCTCTGCACATGGTTCTAAAAATAGATAAGGAAGTAATTACAGAGGTTTCAAAACAACTGTTTTCCTATCACAACATCTGTGTGTTTAATCCTGGATTAGACTGATAAAAGCAGAACAAATGCTCCTGTGAGAGAATTCGACACAATGTTTAAACGTTAAACCAGTAATATTTTGTACTGAATAATGGGGAATAATTGTTGTTTCAAGGAAGGGACAAGAAAAATGATCAAAGTTATACTACAGTCCAGAAGAGAAGCTATTTTTTGCAGAGATTGGCTAAGAATGAACTCTCCCTCTTACTCAATTTGATGACAGTAGAGATAAATCGAGAATGCTGCTGTAGAAAGGTGTTCTTAAGGGGTCACACTGCTCTTGGCAGTGTACAAAGGCCAAAGACCTGACAGAGTAATTTCTGACATCACCACACTAATACATAAGAATGTCTCTATAAAGTCACCACAATCTTGTAAATGTACCAGATATAGTCAACAGTACCTGACTCTGTTCATGATTTCTGTTTCTCAAGATTCTAATAACACTTGATGGATTCTAAAGGCAGAACCCCCCCCCCCACACACACAAATTTTACATTCCATTTATTTCTCTATGAAACTCTATGGAAGTAATTAAAAACCCAGTAAGGCCTGGGAACCATTAATATTATTAACGATGATACTAGCACATTGAGATTTTTTTGAATAATAAAAGAATATAGTTTGGGTTATGGAACAAAAACCAAGCATGTATTTAATCTGGCTGCTTCAAACTTAAAAACACAGTTGTAGGAAAATTACAAGTGACATTATTCAAAAAATAATACTAGAATGGCAAATGATGCAGACAGAATCTAATTAAACATTACCAGTGGCTTAAATAATTGAAAGGCATTATTTGTCATATCAATCAGATGACATTAGAAATGGGTGAATCTTCAAGTATGTATGTATATATATGTGTGTATGTATGTATATATATATATATATATACATATATATATATATGCATATATATGTCAAAGAATAGCTAAATTACTTTCAGGCTGGCCCTAAGTAAAATTACCCTGGGACTTGGTGATAGAGAGGGGAATTATTAGTTGAAATTCTGGCAGATAAATACATCTAAACCTAAAAAAATCAGCAAGAAATGGGGAGAGTTTTTAAAAAAAAATCCTCTCTGTCACGCCAGGTGCCACTCAGAAGGCTGTGATCTGAGGCTTCCAGTTCAAAGCCAGCCTGGAGAAAGAAATCTAAAAGACACTTATCACACATTAACCAGCAAAAAGCAGGAAGTGGAGCTGTGGCTCAAGTGGTAGTCTTGAGCAAAAAATCTAAGGTACAGTTCCCAGGCCCTGAGTTTAAGCACCAGCATTCATTCACTCATGCATATGCACACATACACGCGCACACACAGACACACACACACACACACACACACACACACACAGAGACACACGCAGAGTCGTCCCCGCACCCCCCCTCCCCGCCCCGTCAGCCTATGCCTTCTTGCAGGGCACTTCTGGGAAGAGCCAGAGCAGGAAAGTACCCATCGCCTTTCCTGGTTTGACTAAGGAAGGCCCTGAGCCCATCTCTGCATCTCCTAGTGAAGTGTCCTTTGCACCTGTCACCACCCACTTCCAGTTTGATTAGAGAGGTGAAAAAAAATCACAGGTGATTTGCAAAACAAGAGTTATTCAAGGAAACTGTCCAGCAGAGCTGAAAGCTGGGAGTCGGGTTCTCATCCAGGCCTGTCCACTCACTTCTTTCCTTCTGCTCTTTCTTAGGTAAGTGAACCAGGGAGAAAAAAGGTCAGGGTGCTTTGCTAGCATCTTCTATGCTACCTGCTCCCAGCACTTTCACAATGGACAAGTCTGAAGCCTCCTAGGACCCAGAAGTGCCTCCTTAAGTAAATATGAAAACTCGTATTTCTTTTGTGTGTGTGTGCCAATACCAGGGTTTGAACTCAGGGCCTCAAGCTCTTGCTCAGACTTTTAGCTCAAAGCCAACACTCTACTACTTGATCCACACCACCACTTTCAGATTTTTGATGATTAATTGCAGATGAGAGTCTTGAGGAGTTTTCTGCCCAGCTAGTTGCAAACTAAGATTCTCAAATCTCAGCCTCCTGAGTGGCTCGGATTACAGGCATGAGCTACTGAATCTGGCTGGAGATGCAGATACTTAGAATATCAATCATAAGGCCATGTTCCCTAAACATTTTAACCAAGATGTAGGTGACAGATAGAATTCTACAAGATAGGACTTTTCATTTTCTAATAGAGGTTATGTTTTTACCATCCTTATTGGAAGACTTGCTACCAAATGCACTCAGTGTTTATCATTTTAGACATTTCATTTCTAAAAAGAAGATGTAAACCTCTATTATGACTTTTTGGCTCCAAAAATAATGTTAATCAATATTATATATATGCATATATATGGGAAATAAAGGCAGATCTAACATGTTATTTCCTATATGGATCTTCAGTCCACTATTTATGAAGTTTAGCTTGTGTGAATTTCCCCAATGAAGAAGCAAGCTAAGATTTAAAAACAAAATAAGGTGAGCTCCCATTGCTCAATGCTTCCTGGGATAAATGTGCAGAAACATCAAGGTTCCCTTCGCCAGCTTCCACGCACGGCTGACAGACAGCTCAGGGCAGACGCGTTGTATTTACGCACCTGTAGTTGAAATGCATTATCGCCTGCAGCGCACTTCCTCCCCCAGTTGAAATGTCTCCTTCGAACCCAGGCAGGAGGGGAATCACAACATACACACGGTATCTCTGGCCTTTCCTGCAAAAGTCAGGTGCACAGAACGTTACTTCAAAAAGACAACACTCCTGTAGAAACCGCATCCAGTAGTTGAGATGGGTTTAGAGACTGAGTGATTTTTTTGTCTGTGATAGGGATTGAACTCAGGACTGTGAGCTTGCTCACAGATGGTACTCTACAGTTGAACCACATCTCTAGTCTGTTTTTTTCTGGTGACTAGAGGTTAGAGTCTCATGGACTTTTCTGACTGGGCTGGCTTCAAACCATGATCCTCAGATCTCAGCCTCCAGAGTAGCTAGGATCACAGGCGTTAGCCATTGGCACCCAGCTGAGTAACACCTTACCTAATATTATTTGGCCCACTCTCCCAATTGATTCATAATACTTTTTGGAAAAATAAGGTATCTACTTAATGACATAGCAATAGAAAATGTGTTGTTCTTGATCTACAGGTCTTCTGAAATTCTGAAGTTACCTTCTGATAGATACCCCTCCAATGGAGAACCCCACCAAAGTCTCCTTGTTCTCCACTTAGAAGACCGGAAGAAGCCGGGCACTGGTGGCTCACGCCTGTAATCCTAGCTACTCAGGAGGCTGAGATCTGAGGATCGCGGTTCAAAGCCAGCCCGGGCAGGAGAGACCGTGAGACTCCTATCTCCAATAAACCACCAGAAAACCGGAAGTGGCGCTGTAGCTCAAGTGGCAGAGCGCTCGCCTTGAGCTGAAGAGCTGAGGGACAGCGCCCAGGCCCAGAGTTCAAGCCCCATGACCGACAAAAAAAAAAAAAAAAAGAAGAGCGGAAGAAGGGGCAGCCTAGAAATGATTGTGCTGGACACTTACTAGTGTGTCTGAGAGGTCCATGTCACACACACACACACACACACACACACACACACACACACACACACGCTACTGGAAAGTTTCAAGTCTCATTATGCTTTAGCTGTTCAAAATAACTTTTTGTGTATGTGTGTGTATGTGTGCATATGTGTGTGTGCATGTCTGTGTGAGCTCAGGGCCTGGGTACAGACCTTGAGCTTTTGCCTTCAAGGTGAGCACTCTGCCACATGAGCCATAGCTCCACATCCGGCCCTTTGGTAGTTAATTGGAGATAAAAGTCACAGACTTTCTTGCTTAAGCTGGCTTTGAACCATGATCCTCAGATCTCAGCCTCCTGAGTAGGTACTGGTGTAAGCCACCGATGCCTAGCCGTAATACTTAATCTTTAGGGCTCATTTTCTTCTGAACAACTAGCTCTTCCTTTTGCAAAAGGACTGGTACCACTGTGAGGGTCCAGGGCTGCCATCGGTCTCTGTCCCTGTCCTGAATGTCCCTGTCCTTATTGAGAGTGATTGCAGGGTAGGATCAAGGGGGCAGGGCTGACAAGCTAGCCTTGCTAAGCAGGTTGCTGTAATGGCATGACTTCATCACTAGATGGCGAGCCTAGCTTGACTTGGAAAGAAAAAACTTTCTCTGCTGAGTAAGACAGAAAGGCATACTCGATGGGAAACAAAACAACGGCAAAGAGCAGAAAGCATAGTTGTTTTCCCATAGTCAGCCTCAAAAGTCCAAATGAACTCACAGACTTTTAAGAACTGACCTCATTTAGTTTCCACCCCCTCCTTTCTAGAATCATCTTCCCATGTAAAGGGGAGCACAAACTTTGCTCAGAAGGCACCTCTCAACAACTCTGTATTCCCAATGAACCCCCTCCTTGTAATTTTTGCTATTTTGGAATAATTGCTCTGATATATCAATAGATATATATATCTATAGATACATATCACATATGTCAACATCTCATATATATGCTATATATGTATGTATAGAGATAAGATAGCTATGGTGGATGGATGATAGATGGACAGATAGATGCTGGCCTAAGTCACCCACACTGGCTTCAGTATATTTTTTCCTATACAGAAGTGATCACTGACTAGAAAACTCTGAGGTTTCAGCTGCAAATGGGAACTCGGAGCCCTGTAAGAATTCTGAGTGACCAATGTTTATTTGTTTTACTTTTTGCTAGTACTAGGACATCAACTCAGTGCTTGGGGCTTTCACTTGGCTTTCTAACTCACAGCTGGCACTCTACCATCTGAACCACACCCCAAGTCCAGCATTTGGCTGGTTAATTGGAGACAGAGTCTCAAGAACTTTTCTATCCTTGCTGGCTTCAAACCATGAATCTCCAGATCTCACCTTCCTGAGGAGCTAGGATTACAGGTATGAACCACCTGGCTACCCTTGTTTGTTTGTTTGTTTGAAAGCAAAAGTAACTCCAAAAGGAATACCTCATGTGGAATGTTGAGAAAAGTTCTATTTTAAAAAATCATACAAAATATATTTGCAAATTGTAGTTTTTAAAACTCATGATGTTGGCATTTTCCTATTTGGGGGATTCTCTGAGCCCTACATCCAGGCTTTTCTTTTAGTTTTTTTTCTTTTTAAAAGATGTGTCATCAATTCCCTGCATGATGAACATCTTAAGCTGTGTTAAGTAAATGAGCAGAAATGACTTAAATTTCACTGCTGTTGGAAAAGGGCCCTGGAATTTCAAGCCATAAAATTGCAGTTGAATGGAAGCCAATGAAAATTCGCTGTGGCAGAATGTCTGAGCATCTTCAACCAATCCACATGATCCCAGCTGTCGGGGGAGGAGGATGTAGTCTCCTCTGGAAATACAGCATCCCCGTCACTGGAGTTGAACAAACACCAGCTATCAGTTAGAGGAACAACTTGGGTCCCAATGTGTTTGATTACTTATGATCTTAAGATTACTTATGATCTTAAGAGCATGAAGACAAGAAAAAACAACAAGAAGCCAGGCACTGGTCGCTCATGTCTGTAATCCTTGTTACTTAGGAGGCTGAGATCTGGGGATGGAGGATCAAGCCTGCCCAGGTAAAGAAGTCTATGAGATGCATCTCCAATTAACCAGCAAAATATCAGGCAGGAGGGTAAGGCTCAACTGGTAGAGCATAAGTGGTGAGCAGGGAAGTTGAGTGAGACTTTGAGGCTCTGAGTTCAACTCCCGACACAGGGATGCCCACAGTCACACTCACACACACACACACACACACACACACACACACACACACACACAAGAAATAAAATAATTTAAAAAAAAATAACCTGAAACAAGACAAGAGCCGGTAGGCAGAAATGTATGAGTAACTACTTATCAACCAGGCAGTCAGTCACTCCATCACCTGAGTTCAAAGCTACTTTGTAAGATTGACTTCTCGGGACTCTGTGTTACAGTGGATTTTTCTTTGAAAATCTGTTTAACTCTTAGGACAATTTTATGCATAAGCTGAAAGTTGGAAATGTCAAGTAACAGATAATGAACTGGATTATGATACAGCATTCAGGAGAGTGATCTGCTCAGAGATACTCAAAATGACCACAGGGACAGCTCAGCAGCAAAGTATTTCTGGTTCCATGCTTAAAATGGCCCCTGACACAAGTGGGTGATGATGGTCCAGGCCTGCGCATCCTTGCTTCTCGGGGATCTGAGATCTGGAGGGTCACCACTCCATGCCAATCCAGACAATAAGGTCCAAAAGACTCTTATCTTCAAATAGCAAAAAACATTGGGCTAGAGGTGTGGTTCAAGTGGTAGAGCACCAGCTGAGAAAGCAAGCCCTTAGTTCATTCAAAACCAAGTTCAAGGGGCAAAAAGTTCTAATTATAACACAATACAAATGTGGCGGCTAATATCAGGAAATAAAAAAAGCATGTCACTACTCTGCAGCCAGAGCCTTGGGAGCTCCTGCAACCCCTCCTAAAGGACAGAGCACACATGCCAGCTTTTAGAGAGGGACTGGATTGAGCCCCGGAGACCTGAAGTATAAAGGAGTGGGAGGAAGTGTGCATCCAGCCTCAGGGCTCATGAGATTTCCAGGGAAAGCGGGATCCCTCCTCTCCTTACAAGGGATGGGCATCTGAGTCTGGTTCCATGTGAGGCCTGGAGAAGATGGAGGGTGTGGGATCCAGCAGCCCAAAGAGGGGCAAAACAGAGCCCACAGCCAGCAAAGGAGATGACAACGAGGTCCCCATGCGGCCTGCAGATGCAGGGCTGAGCTGAGCCCAAGGGTCTAACATCTGGAAGAGGTTGGGTGCTGGGAGTGGGGGGGGTCTGGGCCTGAGGACTGTGTGCAGATCGCTCTAGGAAAAGTGACAGTTCAACAGACAATTGAGGTACCTCCCCCCAAGTTCGGTGATTGCTGTAGCTCCCCTTGCACCTTTGAATGCAGGTAGCAGTCTCCCTTGGAACTGGGGCGGCCTGGTGGTCACCTCTTCTTTCTGTATCTTCCTCCTTGCACAACGTTTTCCTCTTTTACCCCTGAGCCCCCTCCAGCTCACCCCTGCCTCTGTCCTCTTCACCCCTGCCTCCCTTCCCCCCACCCCTGCATCCCTCACATTACAGCAAGAAGGCAGAAGGAGAAGTGGACATGCTTACAATGTAGTCTCCCGAGACTATATGCAAACCCAAGAAGCTCAACGTGCTTCTTGAGTGTTGAGACACTTTATTATTTTTGAGTCATATTTCCTCCTGTGACCTGGCAGACATGCCAAGGGTCCTGTCAGATGGTGAGAAGGGGAATTGTTGCCACTGGGCTGTGGAGTCTTTGGTGAGGGGACTTCGTGCCCGGGCAGCACCGGTTCTGGGGCTTAGACATAACCCTTTTTATTTTGTGTTTGGGTAGTCTCTTAACGTGCAATCAATCTTGCTGGGCTTCAGCTCTGTCTGTGAAGAAGCTGGCTAAAATCACTGCAGTGCATAGCAGCGTCAGCCCTGGCTGATCCTGTTTTGTCTCTTACACATAGGTGGGGACTGTCTACAGGTTATGGCGCATTACATATTGTGCACAAAAAACCAATACTACATACTGCACACAATGAACAGTTCCCATTTATCTTCTGAAATTTGCCAGCTTTCAAATGCAAGAGAGATGGGGTGGTTTAAGACTCCCCGCTGGGACTAGATAAGCTTTGACAGGCATGCCCCGCCAGGC